GACCAATAACATGTATTCAACATTAGTTACCTGTTGGATCTCCTGTTTGGACCATAAATCCCTTGATGTTCCTATGGAAGAGGGATCCATAGTGAAGACCAAGAACATGTATTGAACATTAGTTACCTGTTGGATCTCCTGTTTGGACCATAAATCCCTTGATGTTCCTATGGAAGAGGGATCCATAGTGAAGACCAAGAACATGTATTCAACATTAGTTACCTGTTGGATCTCCTGTTTGGACCATAAATCCCTTGATGTTCCTATGGAAGAGGGATCCATAGTGAAGACCAAGAACATGTATTGAACATTAGTTACCTGTTGGATCTCCTGTTTGGACCATAAATCCCTTGATGTTCCTATGGAAGAGAGATCCATAGTGAAGACCAAGAACATGTATTCAACATTAGTTACCTGTTGGATCTCTTGTTTGAACCATAAATCCCTTGATGTTCCTATGGAAGAGGGATCCATAGTGAAGACCAAGAACATGTATTGAACATTAGTTACCTGTTGGATCTCCTGTTTGGACCATAAATCCCTTGATGTTCCTATGGAAGAGGGATCCATAGTGAAGACCAAGAACATGTATTGAACATTAGTTACCTGTTGGATCTCCTGTTTGGACCATAAATCCCTTGATGTTCCTATGGAAGAGGGATCCATAGTGAAGACCAAGAACATGTATTGAACATTAGTTACCTGTTGGATCTCCTGTTTGGACCATAAATCCCTTGATGTTCCTATGGAAGAGGGATCCATAGTGAAGACCAAGAACATGTATTCAACATTAGTTACCTGTTGGATCTCCTGTTTGGACCATAAATCCCTTGATGTTCCTATGGAAGAGGGATCCATAGTGAAGACCAAGAACATGTATTGAACATTAGTTACCTGTTGGATCTCCTGTTTGAACCATAAATCCCTTGATGTTCCTATGGAAGAGGGATCCATAGTGAAGACCAAGAACATGTATTCAACATTAGTTACCTGTTGGATCTCCTGTTTGGACCATAAATCCCTTGATGTTCCTATGGAAGAGGGATCCATAGTGAAGACCAAGAACATGTATTCAACATTAGTTACCTGTTGGATCTCCTGTTTGGACCATAAATCCCTTGATGTTCCTATGGAAGAGGGATCCATAGTGAAGACCAAGAACATGTATTCAACATTAGTTACCTGTTGGATCTCCTGTTTGGACCATAAATCCCTTGATGTTCCTATGGAAGAGGGATCCATAGTGAAGACCAAGAACATGTATTCAACATTAGTTACCTGTTGGATCTCCTGTTTGGACCATAAATCCCTTGATGTTCCTATGGAAGAGGGATCCATAGTGAAGACCAAGAACATGTATTGAACATTAGTTACCTGTTGGATCTCCTGTTTGGACCATAAATCCCTTGATGTTTCTATGGAAGAGAGATCCATAGTGAAGACCAAGAACATGTATTCAACATTAGTTACCTGTTGGATCTCCTGTTTGAACCATAAATCCCTTGATGTTCCTATGGAAGAGGGATCCATAGTGAAGACCAAGAACATGTATTCAACATTAGTTACCTGTTGGATCTCCTGTTTGGACCATAAATCCCTTGATGTTCCTATGGAAGAGGGATCCATAGTGAAGACCAAGAACATGTATTCAACATTAGTTACCTGTTGGATCTCCTGTTTGGACCATAAATCCCTTGATGTTCCTATGGAAGAGGGATCCATAGTGAAGACCAAGAACATGTATTCAACATTAGTTACCTGTTGGATCTCCTGTTTGGACCATAAATCCCTTGATGTTCCTATGGAAGAGGGATCCATAGTGAAGACCAAGAACATGTATTCAACATTAGTTACCTGTTGGATCTCCTGTTTGGACCATAAATCCCTTGATGTTCCTATGGAAGAGGGATCCATAGTGAAGACCAAGAACATGTATTCAACATTAGTTACCTGTTGGATCTCCTGTTTGGACCATAAATCCCTTGATGTTCCTATGGAAGAGGGATCCATAGTGAAGACCAAGAACATGTATTCAACATTAGTTACCTGTTGGATCTCCTGTTTGGACCATAAATCCCTTGATGTTCCTATGGAAGAGGGATCCATAGTGAAGACCAAGAACATGTATTCAACATTAGTTACCTGTTGGATCTCCTGTTTGGACCATAAATCCCTTGATGTTCCTATGGAAGAGGGATCCATAGTGAAGACCAAGAACATGTATTGAACATTAGTTACCTGTTGGATCTCCTGTTTGGACCATAAATCCCTTGATGTTCCTATGGAAGAGGGATCCATAGTGAAGACCAAGAACATGTATTGAACATTAGTTACCTGTTGGATCTCCTGTTTGGACCATAAATCCCTTGATGTTCCTATGGAAGAGGGATCCATAGTGAAGACCAAGAACATGTATTGAACATTAGTTACCTGTTGGATCTCCTGTTTGGACCATAAATCCCTTGATGTTCCTATGGAAGAGGGATCCATTGTAGTAATCACTGGCACATAGAGCTAAGAAGTTCTACAAATTAACGAAATACAAAATATATTACATGCATCTAATCTATCAATCTTACATTCATGTAACACCATTTCAATAACAAATATGTATATACATGTACTACAAAATCCCCAAAATCTGTATGGGAGTAACCACACTGTTAATCAATAGGGTCATGCTGGGAATAAAACCAACTGGAATGGTAACTCCATTGTGTAACTATATTATTGTAGTATATTCTTTTGGTACATTGTTAATTCGTTATGTCTCATTTTGTTAAAATAACAAATCTCATGTTGCATTGTTGAACTACTATGTTACACAAAACATGTATTAAAGATGCTTTACTAACCTTCGTCCAGATGCCACTAAGGCAAAGCATAATGCAAAAAGAGTTAATAAAACAACTGCTTTCATTTAATGACAACAAATTTTGTACTCCATTACCAGTGATCGAGTCTCATCGTTATCTTGAATTGATGCAAATATTGCAACGACCCCCTTTTGAAGAGGAAACGCCAAAAAGATTTACGAATGCAAAAAAATAAAATGTTTCTAGACTTTCAATGTGACCAAAGCAAATCTTTTGAATTAAAAGGTTTTAGTAAGAAAATTAAGAAAGACATTGAAGGCGTGTCTTGAATCTGAAAAGTCTGGTGATCAAATTTTTAATTAATTTAAGGTTTTGCAAGGTGATTTATTATGACATGAACCTCCAACGTAAACCTATACATTCCCGTTTACGTTCTATGAACAAAGTGCTTTAAGCTAAGCCCTTTAGATTAAGTATGACTCTTTCTGACATTACAAATCTAATCGTTGTAGAACAAACTTAGGTGATATAAATGACCACCTCTAAACTAAGGTTCTAATACACCATTGGAAAGCTGAAAGGGTCAGTTTTTAAGAGTTTGAACCAAGATAGGCTGAGATAGGGGTCCTTAAGTGCAATGGCCCCATTATGCTACAAAATGCTTCAGAATTCTTGTTTTCGGTCGAATCGAGATTTGATATTTGAAAACAGTCTGTCGTTCCAATACACCATTGGAAAGCTGAAAGGGTCAGCTTTGAGAATCTGACCTTCATTTGAATTTTTAGAGAACGCAAAATGAGATATTGATTCTTTCATCTCCAATGGGTCGTTTATTAATTTTATGCAAATCAATTACAAAATGACAAGTCGTTCTGTGGCCAGAATGGATTATTTTTAGATTTACAATAGCTAATTCAATGACAAATTATACTTTGAGAATATTTAAGAGTTTGAAGCCAGATAGGCTGAGATAGGGGTCATTTAGTGCAGTGACCCCATAATGCTACAAAATGCTTCAGAATTCTTGTTTTCAGTAGAAATGGGGTTTGATATTTGAAAATAATATGCTGTACTTTTATGTGTAATTTAAGTATTTAGGAATGTACGTTCCAAATAACTAATTTTCTCCTGAGAATATAAAATTGCAGCAAGTGTGTATTGACTTAACATGAGAATGTGCACCTTTGACTTAACATAAGGTATCATCATATCCATTTGACCTTAATATTATATTTTTGAATATATCCTTATAAGTTTACTTACCAATGATATAGTTAATTCCAAAGGCGCACTATATATATACTATTCACTACGTACTCATAAAGGCTAGTGGAATCCAAGCCAAATATTTGACCTCCATTGTCAAACCTATTTACTCACACAGCATCTTTTTATTTTACTCTAATGTAGAATTCCATCTCAAACATGCCTAATGTCTAATATGGAATGATTCCAATTAATAGTTTTTTAGACATAACAGTCTATATAGGCATTCTAAAACCATATATTTCAACATACACCCCCCCCACTCATAAACTAAGGACTGAGAATCAAATTCACACACCATAGCACGAGATCACTAAGCATAGGATGTTACCTGCAGCTTTTATATTCATACTTAGATAGAGATTTTTATTGAATTAGAAGATGAACTTTAGGAACAAACAAAATCTCAACTATAAGTCCCAACAAGACACGGACCTCTGCCAGAGGTATCTGTTGGTATATTGGCTCAATTAATTTACTCAAGAGTCGGACATAAAATCTTCGGAAATTTTTTATTTCCTTGATTCTGGAGTCAGTTTATCAATAAATATAAAATGTTATACCTCAAACGATACGTACCCTTTCCACAACCTGTGAGTCTGTGACCATTATATATGTATTCAAATGTATTCAAATGCGGCTATTAATTTTTAATCACAGCCGCTACTTGTATTTGTATTTTGAACCGATCGTTTTAAATGAATAAAACTGAGTGAATAAATAGAAAAAAATTCTTTACTACAGTTTCTCAAGTTTATGGCTACCATGATAGCATCCGTCCAAGGTTGCAATTGGATAATGTAAAACACAAGTCTTACTGAAGTAACTTTATTGCAAATACGTAGCATACCAAACGATAAAAGAACATAAGAATTTGAAACGTTAACCTTTTTTATTTTTTGCACTAACATGCATTTGTTTTTTCGTTTAGTTTAGAACATATAAATTATTAACACAAAAACATGAGCTCAAACAACCTGGACACTGTTCAGATAATCTACTCTGTTAAAGTTAAGGTCAAGCCCGAGCTCAATAAGTAAACAAGAATGGCGGTTCTATTAGCAATAGGTGTAATCGTTGTGCTGATGATTGCTGGGTATTTGGTGCTGAGACCCAGGCCTAACTTGCCCCCAGGACTTCCAGCACTCCCTGTGATAGGAAGCCTTCCTTGGCTAGACAGCAAGGATCCACTTGGACAACTCGTTAAGGTGCACAGACAATATGGCGATATCGTCACCATCCACTTGGGCATGAAACCGTGTGTCTATCTTAACAGTTATGATGTCAACAAAGAAGCTCTTGTCACACAGAAGAAAAACTTTTCTGACAGACCTGACATGTTCATCTTAGAAACAATGGGGACTACAAATAAAGGTAATTGTGCATTGCGTTTCTCCATGTGTTTTCTCTTGGAGAATGGCTTCAGAAACTTTCAAGGAACTCAAATCACAACAAAATATTCGGCAAGTATTTACTAGTTCGATAATGAGGGAAATGGTTGTATTTAGGTCACCATATAAATCAATGGAGAGTAGGACCATAATTTGATAAGACCTCCTACCCTTTTACACCGGTTTCAAAATTTTCAAAACTTAGAAATTAATTCTGCCACTGCTGGGATATTCCCAAATCAACTCCCTCGATTAGAAAACGAGGAAAGGAGTGGTATCGATATGGAGAACATTTTGAACACACGTTTCTCTTAAACCAGTCATAAAAAATTCTAAAAATTTAACACATCGTCAATTTAATGGTCATCTTTTGAATGGTAACAATATAATTTGAAAAAATATATATATACTTTCATTTATATTGTTTTAGAAAACACATTAAACACTTGTTTTGTTCTTGGTATCAACATGTTTAGGTCTCTCAATATTGTAATTGTACAAAGGAAATTTTGGTTGATTTAAAAAAAGTATCTTGTTAATGAAATAAAAGGTTTATCTTGATTTTTATCTATTTTGGGGGGATTTTGTTTTAATTTTTTGAATACTTTTTTAAAATCAACCAAACATTCCTTTGTATAACTATAATATTGAGAGGTCTAAAAACATATGCTATTTTGTTCCAACAAGGTTCGGAAAGACATTTTATTTCATTCTCAAGAATTGGTAGAAAGGAGCAAAAACAACTGCACTAAAAAAACAAAAATGTTAACTAAAACAGTAATATAAAATATTTCTAAATAATTTTCGCATTAAATTGTTGTCAATCAGTCAACATTACATAACCGTGTTTTTACAGAATGTTTTCAATGATTGGTTTAAGAGAAAAACATTGTTGAATTCAGTTCTCCATATCGATACCCCTCCCTTTTCTAATGAAATGTATTTTCCTGGTTTCTTTGAGAAAGTTAAAATTGCAGTATAAGTTCGGCTGAAAACTCTCTAAAAACGTCATTTCTATTATATATTTCAATATTTCATTATATTGTGAAATATTGAATCTTGGGCCTTCGGTCCTTTATTCGAATTGTACTATTATATTTCATGAGACGTCGAGTATCCCAGTTGAATTAGGTGTTCGGATAGTCCAGGCTACGAGTGTCCGTCTCCAGGTGGTATCAAGAAATATCAGGTTTTGTGCACGGTGTTTTCTGATACATCGAGTATTTTTTCAGGATACTTCCGTTAACGTTCCATATTCACATAAAATACGGGGCAAACTAAATGATCAATACTTTTTCGGAGCGTTATACATTTTTATTTCATCCTTTTACATTTACCTTTCTAGGGGAACCAGGGTTCACATGCTCCAATGGTCACATCCAAACAGAAACCAGAAGCTTCATTAATAAATCTTTTATACAGGTAGGTCAAAGTCAACACTTTTTGCTATTTATTTTTCAAACGGTTTCTTATACATTCACCCCTAACCATAGACGACGTACAGTGACAAAATATACCGTTTTACACTTTCGATGTACGGTGTCACTATAAAGGGACAACAAGGCCTTTAGAGAGAAAATAGGGAAATTTTTACTTTTTCTGAACTATCAGGGCAACATTTGGCTTAAAATCTTCTTTGACATACCTATTTTCTTAAAATGAATAGATAAACTATCAATTTTAGCATTAAGAAGTGTAAATTCAGTTCAAAGCTTCTATAAAGGTAGTCCCACTTATAGATTTCTAGGATCCACCACGTTGAAGAGGAATATTAGCTGTTAAATAATGTTCATTTCTGGGGGTTTCTTTGGAAATAATAAAAATATATGTTAGTCTTGATGAACTAACCAAACTTAAATGTATTTTGACGTTGGATGGAACCTCTCCACTACTTGTTGCACCTTTAACTGATTTGAAGCAAAAACTATGATGTAGGTTTGATATAGCTTTTAAAAAACTTCTCATAAAAATATTTGACACTCTTAGGCGACAGGGGAAAAATGATCAAAGGAAATCTTTTAACGTAATCAGAAAGCACTCGTAAGCACTCGTCACTGTACGTTGTCGATGGTTAGGCGTGAAATTATCGACTATTTCGGTTAGACACATGAGACAAGAGGTCAGACAAACGGATTTTCTTCATATATAATAGACTCCACACTCCCCTACAATAGTTTAGCAACCGGAAACTCTCTTTTAGTATGCTATCCAAGGAAAACTTCCGGTTGACAACTTTCTGGAGGGGAGTGTATTCCATATGAACTTCCGGGTGCCAACTTTCTGGAGGGGAGTGTATTCCATATGAACTTCCGGGTGCCAACTTTCTGGAGGGGAGTGTATTCCATATGAACTTCCGGTTCACAACTTTCTGGAGGGGAGTGTATTCCATATGAACTTCCGGGTGCCAACTTTCTGGAGGGGAGTGTATTCCATATGAACTTCCGGTTGCCAACTTTCTGGAGGGAAGTGTATTCCATATGAACTTCCGGTTGACAACTTTCTGGAGGGAAGTGTATTCCATATGAACTTCCGGTTGCCAACTTTCTGGAGGGAAGTGTATTCCATATGAACTTCCGGTTGACAACCTTTTGAGGGGGTGTATTCCATATGAATTGACATACTGTACATTTTTATTAGTATGAGTGATACAAGTTCGTATAATTAACGTTCGTCGATCAATGCCTATTTCTCAAAAATGACAAAATGGTTACTCAAAATAGCGCCCATGAGCATTATTAAAGAGTGAAAACAAAATTAGCCTTAAATCAGCCTTCCAATTAAATGTTAAGTGCGATGTCATTTTTTATCGACAAGAAGTACTCTATAAACCATTTAAAGGGTAGTACTCAGGGCGTTCATCAATCATTATGACGGGGAAATTAACTATTTGTGTATTTGCAGCACTTTCAAATGGGAACAATCAAATTTGAAAATAAAATTATTGAAGAAATTCTAGTCCTTCTGGATGAATTGGATGAACATACTTCGAAATATGGCCCTGATGCTAACAGTGGTGACGCATACGCAGAGAATGGACAAACTGACGAGGGGATTGATTTGTTGATGCCTTTGACAAAGTGCACGGCTAATATCATTAACAAGATTCTAATAGGACAGAGATTTGATTATGATGATGAAATGTTCATGGAGAGAGTAAAACGTAATTACAGGAACTTATATACTAGTATTATTTCCAAGTATGCATGTAAATTATAGAGCGCAGTAATTACTGTACATAGTATAAGTGACTCGATCAACATGTTGGACTATACCTGTCTCCATACATGAATATGTAAAAGGTTCATGTGCAGTATGGCAAGTGATTTTAGACAGTCATATCTTTCACCATGTGTACTTTCTGGCCATCAATACAGTGGTTTTTATTAAAACAATATATTTTCTTTCAAGTGAAGTCCCCATGATAGTAAAATTTCATTCTAACTCTGAAAAATTATGGATTAAGTTTCTTCTACACTATTTTAATGATTTCTGAAAACGGAGTGCGTATTGAAATCCGTTAAAGTTAAAAACCACATATCCCATGTTATTTTCCCATAGGGAAAAATCGTGCTATCCATTGTTTTCAGCATAATTTTGGTCATCGAAAATTGATATCTTCAAAACTTTCAATACCATTCTACTTTTGAAGAAGTTTTAGACCTCTTGTTGAATAATCTTTTCATGCAATAAAATCCAGAAAAAGAAGATCCTCTTTTGAGTAAATAGGTTCAACATTTTGAAAAAAATGTTGACATGTTGACAAATTTTCGAATTGTTCGAATGATATTTTTATCATCATGGGTACTTTACTTGAAAGAAAACATATTGTTTTAATAAAAAACACTGTATTTATGCCCTGAAAGTATTCATGGTTCAATATATGACTGTCTAAAATCACTTGCCATACTGCACATGAACCTTAACGTGCTCTTGGATGAAGAAATGAAATTATGAAATTATGTCCTGTGCAAAAATTATATTTTTTAATTTCGAGGTGCAAAAACAGTCGTCGCATAAAAATTGTTGTGGGATGTGACAATTTCTAGATAATCAAATTCACTCAAAAATTCTTATATACTTTTGATTTAAAAGGAAAGTGTCAGAAATGATTTTCTGTTTTAGTTTTTGAACAAGATATGCTATTTGTTCAGAAGGCCCAGATTCTGAACATATATCCATCGTTGCGCTTCCTTCCCATTGATGTCTTTGGCTTACAAGATTTTAAGCAGCACCAATTGCAAAACGAACGATTTTGGGAGAAATTGATTAATGAAAATAAGGAAAAGGATAGTCTTATGAAACTGTGGATTCAGAAAACAAAAGAAAATTCCGGGAGTGACGTTTTCAACAGTAAGATACATGTTTAAACATATATTTTCAGAAAAAAATATTTTTACAAATAGTATTCAATATTTAACTTCTATCTATGATGTATTTTAGGTTACTTTTAAAGTATAACAGTATCAGTCACCGTATTGAGGGTTCCATAATCGTATTGTTCGTCCGGGGAAAATAAATTCAAAATATAGAGCAAAGCTTACTAATCGAAACATTCATAACATCGATCGGCCTATATTCAGCTTAATAGTCATGCCTGAATACGAGGCCCGATCAAAAAGTTTCTTATCAAATGCTCTCATTTTTGTTTTGTTTTGGCCGTAAGATGACATAAATCATGTTTTAATTGATTAAAATTTACACAAAATATAGAGTTTATGTATTCGAAATCAGGGAGAGTGGAGCAACTGTTTCACTTTCTGTATTAAGGTTGATTTGATACGTATATATGTAAGGGGCATATGAAGACTCATTACATGCCGTAGTGCCTTCAAAATAATTTCTTCCGAATGAAATACACTTCCTGCATCTACCTGTCTACTGACATGATATTTCAATACATGAAGGAGCTATGTCATTAGAATCAGGTATTTTGTTGAGTTGCTTTTAAAGTCTTCGATTATTGATTTCTTGTCGTCAACGCTCAATCCACGGAGAGGCTTTATTGTCTCATGAAACAAATAGTAACCACATGATGCAAGCATGTCACTCATGAACATATTCACGAGACACGACCCATTTAAATACATTCTGTATTTTCTGTAGTGTATGCGTATTTTACACAAAATTGAATGTCTATACGCTGTTTTACTCTTATAAGTAGATTGTTTCACTCATTTTAGAAATTAGCCATGAACAAATTTGCTGAATTGAATCCGGCGAACAAAGAACTTTGTTGATGACCCTCCTACACAGATTTCTTTTTGAATTGACAAATTGATTTCAAGGAAAGTTGCTACTGGAGCTTACATCCTCATGAAGTGTTACAGTGTCCATTGCATTTTTAAAAATGCCCTGCCTGGGTTGCAATAAGCAAACATGGAATCATGTCTTGCTATCACAAGGACAAGCAGACCGTTATATTCAAATTCTTATAAGCTTTGGAGATCGCTATGCACCAGAAGGGGTATTCAAAGAGATAGGCAATGGTTTTAACAAGACGGTGCCATCTCTTCGACACTGCAAATGATTTGCTGGAATGGCTTGAGCAATATGCTTTAGTAGTCAGCTCATCAGTCGCAGAGGCAAAAGATATGGGCAGCTCAGTCACTAGTTCAAGACAAGTTAAACCCAATACCACGGCTTTCATTTATAATCTGAGTGTTCTTGTTGCCATGGTTGGGTTTAACTTCCGTGCTATGCTTTCATTGGTTGCAAATTCTCACGATCAGTTATTAATAAAACGCGCATAGAATTCAATGCGCTGCCATAGGCCATCATTAAAATATTTTGCATCAAGGGCCGAATAGGCACGGATGTTAAACCTAGGGCGGGCCACAAGAAATGTCAGATAAGAAACAAGGCCCAGACTAGGTTTAACTTGTTGAACTACTCAGTTACAAGATCTCAATCCCCCAGATTTTTATCCGTGGGGATATCTCAATGTGTATGCTTACTGACAATTGATCTTGGGTGGGCAATAACTACCCAAATTCGTGGCATCCATGTTGGTATTGGTAGGAGGGTCATCAACAACTTCGTTCGCCGCATTTAATTGTGCACAAAGGCTCACTTGGAGCATGTTTTGTAAAGAATTGTATTTCTTGACTCAATAGGTAAATTATCATCAAAATTCACACTAAATAGGCCAAATAATTTTCGGATTTCAAAGCAGAATATGCAAAATGACTGAGTTATTCAACTTTTCTTCAGTCCTGTTTTTGGACACCCTGTACAAATATGTATGTCAGGTATGTGACTGCTTTAAGAGATAAGAGGATCAGTCTTAAAATACTGCTGCCCCATCCTCCCTTAAATTTGCAACATCTAGTAATAAAAATGAGATCATTTGGTAAGAAACTTTCTGATCGGGCCACGTAGATGTCAATATGTTTAGAAGAAAATATCTGTTATGATACCGCTATGCATCTAGTTATATAAATAGTGTTATTTTTTATGCAGTGAACCGTCTTAGGTTTGTTTTTGGAGACGTTTTCAGTGGAAGCACTGAAACTGTGAAGTCTGTCGTTGATATTACAATTGCCTACCTGCTTCACTATCCAGATGTACAGACGAAGGTAAAAACATTCCCGTAGTGGGTTTCTAAAATGGTGTTAGCGTTTCATATGACATAACACATATGGTCCCTGATTATTTTTGATTTTAGATACACGAGCAGATAGATGAGGAGATAGGTAGAGACCGTCTTCCTACATTATCTGATAGGGAGAATCTGCGCTACGTGGAGGCCGTTTACTACGAGGTGATGCGCCTAAAGCCACCAGTCCCGCTCTCAGTTCCACATGTATGTACTGAAGACACCACTATCGCAGGATACGACATACCAAGTGGAACAATTGTTATGCCAAACATTTACGCTGCACATCGGGACCCAAACGTTTGGGCGAATCCGGAGAAATTTGACCCGAAGCGGTTCATTGATGAGAACGGACAATTCAAAGATCTTCACAGAATGATAGCGTTTTCTATGGGTGAGTAATGTGAGTTAAGAGAACATTACCCTTAACGGCATTCTCAAGAAACCAAAGTTTCACAAAAATTAAGGCAGCCATTTTGGATTTTCCATGTAGGCCGTCATATTATAACATGGTCCGAATGAGTATAAGTCACGTAATGCAAAATTATTTCAGGTAAACGAGTGTGTCCGGGTGAAGCTGTTGCTAGGATGAAGCTCTTTCTTTTATTCACTGCTCTTCTACAACGGTACAAGTTCTCAGTGCCCCCTGGTGTAGAATTACCTGACCTGAATTGTGAAGTGGGCTTGACACTAACGCTTAAACGTTACAAGGTCTGCATTACTAGAAGATATTGAAAAACATTTTATCTATTGTCACTGGACAATTACTATTAGTGGAGTCAGTTAGCACTTCAATTGAACGTTCTTTATATAAAGCACCATTTTTTGACCACAAAGTACCACTTAACATATATTTTTGATATCTACCGAAGTGGTAATAAATCAATCGTCAGACATACACCTCACTTCAATCAATTATAATCTGGTTAAGTACGGTTAGAGAATTTATTTCTGTTTTTTCAATTAAGCTTAAAACAGACCCATGTAATTAAGAGTTTGAATGTTTATTATAAAATTCAACTGTTTATTTAGTAAGTTACGTATAAAGTAAATTATCCTCTCGTTTATAAATTAACAGATTACAATCTGTCTGTAAATCTCTCGTCAGTACCTATACAAGGTGAGTCAAATCATGAGCCAGAAACCGAAAAAAGTTCTAGAGAGTGTGTGCCAGAGAGGCAATTATTGCTTCACATAACCTACAGTATCTTAATTTACAAGGTTTCATAGCTTGGACAACTTAGCTTGGACAACTTCACTTATGGTTCTCTCTAAGCAAACATATCATCTAAACCCCAGTTGTTTTCTTTCTAAAATACAAAATTTTGGCACATGAAAGTTAATATTAGACCAATCAGAGGGAGAAGAAACACGTTACAGCTAGCTAGAAACTGAATGGAAACTTTCCAGATGACAAAATGGCCTGCCTGCATACAGTTGAAATATGTTTCTTTTTATAAAGTTGTTTTGAAATGAGTTAAAAGGATTTAAGCACTGACCTCAATGCTTTATAAAATATATCACTCGTGACTATCCACTTGTGATATATTTCACAAACAAAGTGACAAAGCGTCGAGTTCAGTGCTTAAATCCATAAGCCTTCCAAAAATAAATAGTGAACTTTTTGCTTAAAGGCCCCATGTAAAGTTTAAACCACTTTGGCTTATATTGTAGTCTTACCCAATGTTATCAAAGTGTGATATGTGAAACTTTTTTTTTTAATTTGTTCCAAAATTTGTGAATTTATTTAAAACCAACTTTAAGAGGTCACTCATATATTTTAATTAGCCACAATTCATACCAATGCATAGCATACATTCTCCCATGTTTTTTGCCGAAAACATTAAGAAAATCGGTTGATAAACAAGCGAGAAATGAACTTGTCAGTGCATGAAAATGGTTCTGAGAAAAATGCATTTCAAAATTTTAGTTCTCATAGAAACCAATGGTACAATGATATCTAAAACATAATTATTCTTCCTTTTAATCTGGTTAGACAATCAACATTGGTTTTTATGAAAGTCTAGCATATTTAGAAAAGATTGACATCGAAAAAAAAAATTCAATTTTTTTCAAAAAGTTTTTGTTACCTTAGTGACATCACTAATGTTTCAAAATATTTTTGATAAGCTAAAACATTGAAGTGGCCCATTAAATATGACATTTTATTATTGAAATAGTGTGTCTTTTGTTCAATCTTTGCATTGGTGTTAAAAATATAATATTTTTTGAAATGCATTAAGAAATATTTGATGATTAAGAAATTTCAACTTTTTTTGAAAAATGGCGGGAAATTTGAATATTTGAGAAATGAAATGCTCACAACTTTTTTTTCAAAAAAAATTTTTTGTTCAAAATTCTTTAAAATCACTTTTTAAGTCCTGACAAATAGTAAATGAATGATAAAAAAATATTTTCAAACTTTAGACGGGGACTTTAACAAAGATTGAGTTCAAGATAATGTACATGTACATGCTATTGTCTAATACATGTATTTTCTTTAAAAGTACACAAATGGCGCATCCAAATTAGTATATTTGGTAACAACTTTGAATTTCGTTCTAGATAGCGCTGCTCCTATGCAAATAATTTGATTTGATGTTTCTTTAGGAAAGCATCATCAACACTCTTTGAGTTAAAAACAATCCTTCGATTTATCCTTACCCGGGTAGAATATGATTGATCAAAATCCAGTTACCAAATCAAATAGTGGTCACCAAACTGCATGTTTTCATAAGTAGCTGATATTTAACACATACTAAAACCCATTAAAGGCCATGTGACAGCTACTTATCATCACCAAAACTGTATATTTCTCCTATCTGAATGTACTAGGCTCTGACACTCAGAATAAATATACATGTACTGTTCCAGTAAAGTGTCTATTATTGATAATGTATCACCCTGCTATAGGGTTAGCATGTATGGTGATGTCTCTGATTCTGATTTCATTCAAAGGTCTGTAGCTTTTCTCATTTACTGGCTGTTTTTCTAATTCATCTAATGTGTCAAAGCCATCAATAACTCTGAAAGAAAAATACATAATTATTAAATCATTTTATTAGTGTACATAATGCATAAAGCAGAGACAACTGCTGTTAAAAATGTCAAATTACTGTACATTACCTACTCTTTATTAATCTTTGTCTGATGCTTTCACTTTTTAATTAGTTTGTATAAAATTGTGAATGTAACTCTCTTCTTATTAAGAGGCAAATAAATTATACATACATATTGCCATTTGCATCTCCAGTCTAGCAATCTGAATATTCAAATTTTAAGTTCATAAAGATGTTTACATAACATTTATTATTTTATACATTTATTATTTTGATCTAATGGCGCCATTTTCACTGTTCACATTTGCAACTGCTCCGTCACAGCGGACAAAAAAATTAAACATTATTTTTTATAAAAGAATTGAAAAGACCAAATACATCAACATCTCATTTATACCTTCATATTTATGCTGAAACCATGTGTAAATAGTATCGTGTCACTATATCGTGCCATTAGAAAGTTAAACAAGAAATGGTACATTTTGAAGTATGATACTCCGGCGCCATTTTCAATAGCTTTTGTTCCCAGCGTAATTGGACTTCAAACAGAAGTGAAAGTTACCCGCAAATGATATATCCATTGCATTGAGTAAGTAATTTTGTATGGTATAACGAAACATATGAGTTAAAAAATAAATCGTGAAGTATTCTTAGTGTTTTTATGAAAAATAGCATGCTCCGTCACAGCGACAAATATTTCGATACCAGCCTGTGTAAATAAGCTTTACTTACTAAACAAATATGGTGCATTTTAGCTTTACTTACTTCCCAAATATGGTGTATTTTAGCTTTGCTTACTTCCCAAATATGGTGCATTTTGGCTTCACCTTCTTCCCAAATATGGTGTATTTTAGCTTTATTTCCTTCCCAAATATGGTGTATTTTAGCTTTACTTATATAACTTCCCAAATATGGTGTATTTTAGCTTAACTTCCTTCCCAAATATGGTGTATTTTAGCTTTACTTCCTTCCCAAATATGGTGTATTTTAGCTTTACTTCCTTCTCAAATATGGTGTATTTTAGCTTTACTTACTTTCCAAATATGGTGTATTTTAGCTTTATTTACTTCCCAAATATGGTGTATTTTAGCTTTACTTACTTTCCAAATATGGTGCATTTTAGCTTTATTTACTTCCCAAATATGGTATATTTCAGCTTTATTTACTTCCCAAATATGGTGTATTTTAGCTTTACTTACTTCCCAAATATGATCTAGTTCATTTTTACTTACTTTCCAAATATGGTGTATTTCAGCTTTACTTACTTCCCAAATATGGTGTACTTTAGCTTCAGATACTTCCCAAATATGGTGTATTCTCGAATTACTTACTTCCCAAATGTGGTGTACTTTAGCTTTACTTACTTCCCAAATATGGTGTATTCTAGATTTACTTACTTCCCAAATATGGTGTATTTCAAATCAAGAGATGTCTGCTTAGCATATGTTATGAAAAACTGAGAGCCATTTTTGTTGGGACCATTATTTGCCATGGAAACTATTCCTCGTTTATCATGCTGAAAAGAGTAGAGAAAATTAAAATAAAATATAGTAAGAGAATGACAGATGCTTGAAATGTTCATTTTGCTGTTGGTAATTCGAGTAAGTCAAACAATGACATGAAAATAAGGAACTTACAGTTGTCCAAACTTTAATATTTGATATGCATGTACCTTGTGTGTGATTGTACTTTAGCTTATGAAATAAATAAATAAAATTTATGCGTAGAATTTAATGTTAAGCTTTACATGTATGTTTTTAATTTTAACTGTTCTATACCTTCACCATAACTTCCAACCCCATTGCACTTTGGATACAGCCAAAGGAAATACCATCTTCTTGCATAGGGACTCTTTAAATATGTAGTCCCTTAATCAATTTCTATTTCAAGCTGAGCATGAACCATGTGAGATTAAGTCTCAAAGGCCAAAACACAAAAAAGTATTAAAACTGTTCGTAAAAAGTTTTGGACAAATTATATTTGTTAATGAATTGGCAATAAAACACCACTTTTGTTCTTGAATTCTTAAAGTCTACATTACATGGCATATAATCTTCCAGTGACGCTACGCTACATAACAGAACTTCACTGATCAAACTTTTTGCCATTGATACTGTCTCCTCCTTTACCAGTGCCTGAAATGTAATATAATATCATGAATAAAATGGCAACACTTCAGCGATCATGTGTTACACATACATGTATATCGTATTAGAATGTATATCTAATTGTTTGGCAGTACCTGTGGAAAGTTACAAACGGGATACTAACTTTTTAAATGAAATACAAAGACCTCGATTTTATGATTTATGTCAAATATATGACTTCAAATTTTATTCTGGCCATTTAACAATGAACAGAATGAAATTCTCTGTCATTTATTACGCCATATAAATCATAAAATCTCGGTCTTTATTCCTTAAACAAATGATTGTGTGGAAAAATTATCATTTAAATGGTAAAATGTAATTTTTTCGATTATTTAGCTTTGATTATCAATTATCATTAATACCTCAATATGGATCTTTCTATTTTGAACTCAAATGAGAATCAGATCTAGCGAGCAAGAAAACAAAAAATTGTTTCAATTTCAGATTGCTTTTACTAACATATACAGGGTGATCATTAAGTTCTGGTAATTGGTCTGCCATTTCAAGATTTCTCAACCATTTGAGTTGAAATTTTCAGCAGGTGTACATTGTATAATTCTGAGTTGACAGACAATGTTTCATATACATATCACTTCTACAATTTATTTTATTGTAATTATAAAAAAAAAGTAAAAGTGGTCCGAGGTTAAGCGAATTTTGACTGATGTTAATCTGAAAATTTCCTGCCAAACATATTCATCTTGCCTAGATGGTTGCTTCAAACTACTCATACTAGAGACAGAACAGCACTCTTGAAATCATTTATTCAAAAGTATTCTTAATTGCTGAGAGGATCATTTCATTTATAATTGTTTCAAGTAGCCTGGACGCAAATGCGTTGTTGACAAACCTAGTCCAGAAAGATGTGTTCCAAACCTCCCTTTGGTGTCCCTTGAAGATTTGCTCAAGCTGTTGAAATCAGTCCCTTATCGGAATCAAACATATGACCTCTCATATGATGCTTTAGCACTCCAAATGTAGTGAAGCCCAATGGTGCTTCATCTGGTGAATATTGTATGGTGAATATGGGGCAGTAACAACTTGTGTGAACCCTAATTCTTCAAGAGTAGTATGGGCAGTTTGAGAAGTGGGGAGGAGCATAGCCATAATGGAGGATGACTCCTCGCTATTTTGAGTCATGATTGTGACTTTAACCCTAGAAGCCCTAAGGTAAAAATAGTCACACGAACACCTAAGGGGGGGTCAAAAGGGCACCCCCCTTGTAAAATTTTTATTAGTAGAGCTAGGATGTTCAAACTTTTTCCACATATACTTCATTCAATTATCTACAACTTGGTATAAAAGTTTTAACAACTACGATGATGTGAGATTGCGTAATTTTATTTTTAAGACAACACGTATGGTAGAATTAGTGCTAGCTTTTTTCTGATTTTGTCTATTGGAGCTGATGATTACATCATAATAAATAAATAACAAATTAGTAAAGCTAGGATGTTCAAACTTTTACCAAAATATACTTCATTCAATTATCTACAACTTGGTGTAATAACTTTAACAACTATGATGATGGAAGATTGTGTAATCTTATTCGAAAGATAACACATATGGTAGAAATAGTGCTAGCTTTTTCCGATTTTGTCTATTGCAGCTGATGATTACATCATAATAAATCAGTAACCCTATGTACAATTCTGCTGATTTTTTCAGAAAACATGTCTCATATCTGTAGCTTTAGCTACTGGAAATTTGAAGACTCTACCAGATGCCAATAAAAAGTTATGGGGAAAAAACTTCACAGGGGGGTCATTTTGACCCCCCCCCCCCTTAGGGCTTCTAGGGTTAAGACTCTGACGAATGATAAGAAAATAGAGCAAAGTACACTCGTATATCACAATACAAAAGTTACTTTAGAAACTAAAGTTAAAAGTATTTGAAAATATAAAAATCACAGAAATATCATAATAATATGTCCACCAAATAGGTATTAATTAACCATACTTTTGAATCAAGCAAAATTTGAATTCATTTTTATTTTACTTGACCCGCTACGCCATTTGTCATGTTGCTATAGTAACAATAATTATCCATTGTGACATCAGATGACAATGAGACTGTTTTATACAACCCAAATTCACAATCCCCATTTACCTTGAAAATCTCAAGTAAATTGGTTGAAAAATAATGGAATGACAGATATATTCCCAGAACTTAGTGATCACCCTGTATTATCAATAGTATGTCATATTTGCCCATTTCCTTAGATACTTTTGTCAAATTTGATTCAGGGTATTCTGTGTCAGAGCATACCTCCACTGAAATTGAGATATCTCTTAATTTCCAATTTATTCATGCTATGCAAGCTGCAGCATACCAATCTTTTTTCAATTGAACACTCTATCTGCACATAAAAAATCATGAAGATTCTTTAATTCTTGAGAGAGTTATTCCAAAATTAGTGTGTGGTATTTTTGTGTCACCTTGTATTTGAGATCATAAAGAATAAATTAGTAGACCAGTTTTGTAGACCAGTTTTGTCATCCTATAGATCTGAATCTGCATTTACTATGTATCATATAGGAAAACCCACTTTACAAAATATTGAATGTTCGCGACTCCCATAGTCTGATAGTGAAGACCTGGTAAGAACATGTATTGAACATTAGTTACCTGTTGGATCTCCTGTTTGGACCATAAATCCCTTGATGTTCCTATAAAAGAGGGATCCATAGTGAAGACCAAGAACATGTATTCAACATTAGTTACCTGTTGGATCTCCTGTTTGGGCCATAAATCCCTTGATGTTCCTATGAAAGAGGGATCTATAGTGAAGACCAAGAACATGTATTGAACATTAGTTACCTGTTGGATCTCCTGTTTGGACCATAAATCCCTTGATGTTCCTATAAAAGAGGGATCCATAGTGAAGACCAAGAACATGTATTCAACATTAGTTACCTGTTGGATCTCCTGTTTGGACCATAAATCCCTTGATGTTCCTATGAAAGAGGGATCTATAGTGAAGACCAAGAACATGTATTGAACATTAGTTACCTGTTGGATCTCCTGTTTGGACCATAAATCCCTTGATGTTCCTATGAAAGAGGGATCTATAGTGAAGACCAAGAACATGTATTGAACATTAGTTACCTGTTGGATCTCCTGTTTGGACCATAAATCCCTTGATGTTCCTATGGAAGAGGGATCCATATTGAAGACCAAGAACATGTATTGAACATTAGTTACCTGTTGGATCTCCTGTTTGAACCATAAATCCCTTGATGTTCCTATAAAAGAGGGATCCATAGTGAAGACCAAGAACATGTATTGAACATTAGTTACCTGTTGGATCTCCTGTTTGAACCATAAATCCCTTGATGTTCCTATAAAAGAGGGATCCATAGTGAAGACCAAGAACATGTATTGAACATTAGTTACCTGTTGGATCTCCTGTTTGGACCATAAATCCCTTGATGTTCCTATGGAAGAGAGATCCATATTGAAGACCAAGAACACGTATTGAACATTAGTTACCTGTTGGATCTCCTGTTTGGACCATAAATCCCTTGATGTTCCTATGAAAGAGGGATCCATAGTGAAGACCTGGTAAGAACATGTATTGAACATTAGTTACCTGTTGGATCTCCTGTTTGGACCATAAATCCCTTGATGTTCCTATGGAAGAGGGATCCATAGTGAAGACCAAGAACATGTATTGAACATTAGTTACCTGTTGGATCTCCTGTTTGGACCATAAATCCCTTGATGTTCCTATGAAAGAGGGATCCATAGTGAAGACCTGGTAAGAACATGTATTGAACATTAGTTACCTGTTGGATCTCCTATTTGGACCATAAATCCCTTGATGTTCCTATGAAAGAGGGATCCATAGTGAAGACCTGGTAAGAACATGTATTGAACATTAGTTACCTGTTGGATCTCCTGTTTGGACCATAAATCCCTTGATGTTCCTATGAAAGAGGGATCCATAGTGAAGACCTGGTAAGAACATGTATTGAACATTAGTTACCTGTTGGATCTCCTGTTTGGACCATAAATCCCTTGATGTTCCTATAAAAGAGGGATCCATAGTGAAGACCAAGAACATGTATTGAACATTAGTTACCTGTTGGATCTCCTGTTTGGACCATAAATCCCTTGATGTTCCTATGGAAGAGGGATCCATATTGAAGACCAAGAACATGTATTGAACATTAGTTACCTGTTGGATCTCCTGTTTGGACCATAAATCCCTTGATGTTCCTATGGAAGAGGGATCCATAGTGAAGACCAAGAACATGTATTGAACATTAGTTACCTGTTGGATCTCCTGTTTGGACCATAAATCCCTTGATGTTCCTATGGAAGAGGGATCCATTGTGAAGACCAAGAACATGTATTGAACATTAGTTACCTGTTGGATCTCCTGTTTGGACCATAAATCCCTTGATGTTCCTATGGAAGAGGAATCCATAGTGAAGACCAAGAACATGTATTCAACATT